ATATATATACATATATATAAACATAAAATTATATATAATTTTAATACCGTTTGTAAATTCGAAAACTTGTAATTTTCTTGCATCTCACAAAAAGTTAATTAATTTTTTGCGTTTAACATTGCAACAGATTTTTTTCTGTACTTTAATTTCAAAATTAAAATCATTTTGTAAAAAAAATTTGATAGAAAAAATTTTTAATTTTATATAATTTAGGAACAAAATAAAATCGGAACTAAAAAACAAATTTACAATTTAACTTCTCCTTTAAAATGCATTCTTGAAAACTTCTCTACGATTTTTTTTTACTGAGATATTTCATTTTTCATGAGATGCGAGAAAATCGTAAGATAAGAACTGTTTCCGAATTATTATGGTAATATTATATATCAATCGAAATATGTTAATTCATCAGTGCAATATTGTTTGAATTAGAGATAACGTTAGGCTATGTATTAATTTTTTTAAGAATCTTTGTAAAATGTATAAAAACTCAAAGAATTCATTTCAGCAATGCTCAGTTTGTCAAGATAATTCAAAGCTGTTACATGAACAAATGCAATAAAATCAATTCGTTGGATTTTAAAGAGAGCTCTTAAGATTCCCAGAATCTTTCGAAACCGAAATTCTAAAATTCGCAAATTTCAGAGAGATTTTTTTGTACATTTTACAAAAAGTACGGTAACGGTAATACGTTACTTTATGAAATAACCTTCCCAATTCTATAAATATGTTCTATATGGTTTATCGTCTTGCAGAGGATGCATCCTAAATTTTTTTGGGGTGCTCTAATTTTTTGCGCGAATGACGTTAAAAATTAGACCAACGCTAACATATCCTGCCCAATTCTGTATGAAGATCGCATAGCGTTCCTCGAGTTTCTCTATTCATGCCACCGTTCCTGCAACATCCACGGCCGTTATTACTTGACCCCGTGCACGTTCACCATGTGACAGCGCATGGTGTATTTTCGCGTGAAGACGGTCTGACAGATCGGACAGATCGTGTCGCCCCTGTGTATACTGCGATGATGAGCTAGGGAATCGCCACGATTGTAGGTTCGGCCGCAGACGTCGCAC